ACACACACACACACACACACACACACACACACACACACACACACACACACACACACACACACACACACACGGACACAGGTACACCCATACACAAGTCTACCCGAGAATGACAACTTGCCGAATCACATCATACGATGTTTCCAGTGACATGGCAGGGAATTTGGCATGGGTTCTGTGGGTTATTGGTTATCGTTATTGGGGGGTTGGAGGGCGTCAACCGTGTTGCTTGATTTTGGTATGTTGTGGGTGGAGATGTGTTTGGGGTTGTGTTGTAAGGGACAAATGAAATTGGGCAACGATGATGGGGTCCGAAGGGAGAGCACAGCCGCTGCGCACATAGCACGTACGAATAATGGAGGGGCCCACGAGCCGAGACTGAAAGGCGGACGTGTCATTGTTTGTTCTTGTCAGGCGAGACGAATCGTCGTTGCCGCCCATGCCGTGCGTCTTGAAACATGTCCCCTCCACATGCATAAAAACGATAGATGACCACCTTCTTCCGCAGGGTTGGGCATCGCACATTCGTCTCGCCTCTGCAGGGTAAGTACCATCGCCTCCGTCGGATCGTCGCGCCACCCCTTCTCCGCAGGATCACCTTCGTCTCTTTTTCGTCATCGTCGTTGTTGGATCTTGCCGTGTCGCCTCTTCCGTCTCATGTCCACAGGGTCTCCACCGCACGATTGTTAGGGTGGTGCAAGATCGCCTCAATCTCGTCTTCATCAACGTGGTTTCCGTTCATTGGATCTTTCCATCGTCCTCACACTTTGTGTCCTCCCCATCACCTTTCAAGTCAGCGCTTCCACTCCATCAACCCACTCCATTTGCACTCATCGTCGTCGTCTTGCACCCGATCCGTGGCCATCGTCGTCGCGTACAAGTCATTTCGCCTTTGACATCCTGTGGCCACAGTCAGTGTCGCCATCGTCATCGATCGAGTGCACGTGGCCATCGTAGGATCGCCTCGTCTGCACAGGATCACATCCGCCTCGTCTGCATCATAGTCGTTGATGGATGTTACGGTCTCGCCTCTGGAGGGTCGCCTCTTATAGATAACCACTGTCGTCCTCGTAGATTGTGTCCGCCGCAACGCCTTTCAAATCATCGCTTCCAGTCCATCCACCTGATCCAATTGCAGTCATCATCGTCTTCTTTCACACGTCGTCGTCGCCATTGTCGTCGCCCATACCCGACATTGTCGTTGCCTTCCTTTCCCCATTGTAGGTGTTGCCATCGCCATGGCCATCGCGCGGGAATAAGTTTTGTACGCTCATTTTTGCGAGGCACCTGATGTGCCCGTCATCGACGTCACCGTCACAATCGCTTGTCACCTACCACCAGCGAAGCATGAGCTTGTCGATTGTAGTCGTAGTGTTTACTTTCCCCCCTCTTCTATCGCAATCAAAGGCTCCCCTACATTGCAGCGAGTGCCTGATTAGTTGTTGTCCGAGCAGGACGTGTGTTCAGGACGACTCATCGTCGTCAGAATCGCCTTTAGTCGTCGTCGTCATGTTGTCGCGTGGCAGTGGCCGTGGCAGGAAACGCGAAGGCGCCGACACGAAAAGAGAGGTCGGAAAAAGGCACGCGTCGATGGCGCGTTGGCAATGCAGGCATAGGAGTTGTCGACGGGTGTGTGCGACTTGGCCACTTGGAAAACAAAGACGATGTCTTCGTGGATGAGGAGGACTCACACGACGGTCGTGGTGCAACTGTGCAAGGTGGCAGCGCGCTGTGAATCGACATGGGTGCTGCGGGAAAGGGCGAAGGAGTGGATGCTACACCCGATTGCAGTCGTTGGAGGATCTGTGGTCAGACAATGTGCCTCGGTTGCGGATGCCCATCAAACCGCCCGGGGGTGATCAACGTCGGCGACCCCTCGTCGACATCCGATTTCAGAAAGGGAATCATTCGTGGAGGCGGTCGTGACAGGTGTCCCTCACGGCAGAGGTGGTGGTACTGGGGCGGAAGCGGTGGGAGTGGGTGGTGTTGGGTCGTCAAGAGCGGTGGCTGCTGCGGCGCCTGCACAAAGCAAAGCTGATGCTGTAGACGAGGAACCTTTGGCGAACAAGGTGCGGAGAGCCAAACATTTTGGCGGAGCAGACAAGGTTGTGGGTTGACTTCTTCAGATTCTGGAACAAAACAGACGACAATCGACTGCTCAAGATCGTGAACAACACGCGAAACTACCTCGTATCCATCGCTAGGGAGTCACTCCTCCAAACCTCCCTCGCAGCGTCATCCTTTCGCATTGTAGCATCGCCGGAAACACAATAATGGACAGGTCACCGTTGCATGAAGCTAAGGAAAGGGCTGGAAAGGTGCAAAGGGTAGTCCTGCGTGTCATCCACGGCTGGATCTTCAAATCGAGCAACTGGTCATGAGGTTAGACAGCCGTGTACAGGTACCTACTGCAACATGTGGCGACGGACATCGCATGAGTGATGTGGTTCGCCAAAAAATGGAGCGCCTTTGTCAGCCACGCAGTGTGCCACATCACATTTGAACTCGACATGCAGCTCCCTCAGTGGTTCGTCGGCGCGCACATCGAAGACATGCCTGAAGACGACGGGGTGGCAATGTATCAAGAGGCGACGTTGCAACGCGTTGTGGCAGCTTTCATGAGTGTGGTGAATGTGGCTGAGCTCCAAGACGGGGGCCGCATGTCACATGACAGGTTGAAGAATGTGGCTGAGGGTATGAAGGTCTTTGTGGCAGCCACCATGTGGTTGATGCGCATGCTGGGAGATGAGTCTGGTCACACTACGAGGCTTCTTTTTTCGTCCAATTCACGGCGATGCCAACTCTGTTGGCGTCCATGCATCTCGCATTCGATGTGCGTCGACACATCACACAAGCCGCGAACTTCGTGATGGAGAGGTTTGGCAAGTCTGCCATTACTTCAGTGGATTCCCCTCACTACATCCCCGACTGGGCATCATGCTGTGTGAAATTTGGATACGACTCAAGTTTGCCATTGCCCGATGATGCGAAACGGTGGGATTGGTTGGGAACAGGGGCCCCGGAAGAGGAAGACGACGATGATGGCCAGCAGCAGAATGCAGGAGGGGGCTAGGGGGTCCAATTTATCGACATGCGCAGGCTACGGATGGTGGTAGTGTCGAGCGGGCAGTGATGAAGGGAATGGTAGAGTGTTTACCTTAATTTTTATTTTTTTGGGTTGTGCTTGTATTTTGTAGTTTTGACTCGAAGAAGACGATTACTTCAACATCGATGTCGACGTAGGTTGTCTCTCTCTCTCTCTCTCTCTCTCTCTCTCTCTCTCTCTCTCTCTCTCTCTCTC